CCCCATTGTGCTTCACCACATTCGTAGATATGTGTGTAGCAGTACACATATTTTCTGTCAAGAGTAGGCTATACTCCCACTCTCCCTCTTATATCTGTTCAGCCTGTTTATCTGCCTTGCTTCTGTTGTTTTTAACTTCTGTAAACCTCCCAGTCTTTCCCTGCCTCCGTCATTTTACCCCCCACCCTGCCACAGTAATCTTTGTATGTATTGCATGCCCTTCACCCAAGTTCACACACGTCTACCCTCCAGCCCATGACTTCTTCTTTCCTGCATCTCCTGCCCATCTCAGGCCATGGGATGCTTAAGGTACTATACTGCCCAGGATGTGGTCCATCTAACTACATCCCTAGCTAGACACATAAGAGGGTTTGGTGAAAAGGCCAGCCCGCAGAGTCCAGAGAAACATGAACTTAGTCTGTCCTATTTTTTTTTAAACATTTTATTAGGGGCTCATACAACTGTTATCCCAATCCATACACACACCAATTGTGTAAAGCGCATTTTGTACATCATTCTCAAAACATTTTCTCTCCACTTAAACCCCCGACATTAGGTCCTCATTTTTCCCCTCCCACCCCGCTCCCCCCTCCCTCATGCGCCCTTGATAGTTTATAAATGGGTATTTTGTCATATCTTGCCCTGTCCGATGTCTCCCTTCACCCACTTTTCGGTTGTCTGTCCCCCAGGGAGGAGGTCACACACATTTCCATGTAATCGGTTCCCTCTTTCCTACCCATTCTCCCTTTACCCTCCCTGTTTTGCCACTCACACCACTGGTCCTATAGGGCTCATCCATCCTGGATTCCCTTTATTTTCAGTTCCTATCTGTACCAGTGTACCTCCTCTGGTCTAGCCAGTCTTGCCAGATAGAATTCGAGTCATGGCAGTCTGTCCTATTTTTATGTGACTAGCCAAACCATTTCCCCTAAGAAATGCTTTCCTTATCTTCTTTAAATCACCTTATCTTTTCACCACCGTTGTCTGATAAAATGATGATGATAAAAATGCTTCGAGTATGATATAAATGGTTATACAAATACTAATTTTGTTGTTGTTAGATGATTGCCCCTTCCCCCCAGGAAAGTCTTAAGGCTAGCATGGCAATTTACATTGTGGTTTGATTCCAGAAGAATATTCATTTAATGTTTTAAAACGATGAATGTCACTCTGCAGTAGGGATTATTAGGATTGTTATTTTTAGATATGTGTTCTCTCTATTTGAAAATGCATTCAAGGGTGGAGAACTCACAATTCCTTACCACGCGCGGGAATGATGAGACAACTATACACATACTTAAGAAAACAAAATAGAATGTTAACAAGGGGGATGAGAGTGTTATCAAACCATGGTATGGGAATTCAAGATGAGAAATGGCAGGTGACCCTCATAGAATGCCCTGGGGGCTCTCAACAAGGGCATCATACTCATGTAGCTGGGTTTCAGGATGTAAAGATCCTGCACTTCAATACATGTAATGGTTGTGTAGAGGTCAGTGTGCCACTAGTGGCCTTTCGGTCCTACCTTGGGCCATGACGCTGCCAGGGGAAGAGTTGTGGCATACAATCTACATGAAAAGCCCAGAGTTTGTAGTCAGGATTTGAACCTGAACCTCAGCTTTGCCATTTGCTACATGGATAATCTTAAACAAGTTTTCAAACTCTCTGTGCCTCACCTCTGTCATCTGTAAATGAGACAGCAATGGTGCTAGCAAATGAGGACTTTCACAAACATTGCTAAAAGAGGAGCGGTCCCATAGTTAGGAATAAATCAATTTTATGTATAATGATGCTACTAGGGGAATAAGACAAGACTTGGGTGCATGGCATGCCTTTAAGAGAGTCTCTTGCCTTTTTTTAAAATGTAAAAACAATAGCTTCTTTGAATATTCTCTTCTTTCTACTAGCATGGATCATGGACCATCAAAAAGCTTGGGCCCCCATCATGGCCAGGAGAGCTTCCATTAGGCAAGGGTAGGAACCCAAATACATGTGGCTTCAAATGGGTTTCTTAAGGTGATGGCCACCGCTGCTCACTGCTCAGTTGTAAACTTCTGCTGCCCTTTCAACTTCCTTTAGTGAGAAGGCTACCTCTCTTGAATATTTTAACTCCGTGGAAATGTCCTAACATCATCTCCCATTCCTAGGAAGTAAAAGACTGGAGATAAGTGTAGTCAAATGTTTGAGTGAAAAACGTGATTATTGCTATGACTATTGTTTGTTTTTTGACTCTTGGCAGGAATTTGCTGGGGAGGGCCTTCGAACCTTGGCGATTGCATACAGAGACCTGGATGACAAGTACTTTCAAGAGTGGCATAAAATGCTGGAAGATGCAAGTTCTGCCTTAGATGAACGAGATGAACGGATAGCTGGACTGTATGAAGAAATTGAAAGAGATTTGATGGTATGAGTTTAGAAACATGATGGTTTGTGTTTAGAAAAGGGATCATATATGTTTAGAGATCGAGCATGGAAATAAGCCATTGGCTAAATCATCGTGCACAAAGCAGATGTTGCTCTTTCAAACATTGACTCATGCTTTATATATTGGCTTTGGATTTGCCCAAGTGTGGCCCCAGGAGGCTTAGAGGTTTTCTATTGTTATTGTTAGATGCCATCGAGTTCCGACTCATAATGACTTTATGTCCAACAGAACAAAACATTGCCTGGACCTGCTTATTTCTAACAGCAGCGGCTTATGCAATTGGAAGTCCCCCAGTAGTACAAACTAGCGGGCTCTCTATTCTTTGTCAACTCCGAGTATGTCTTCTTTGATGCTTTCTTTTCTTTCTGTTTTATGGCTCACCCTTTGACGGAGGGGCACTCTAGCTCTAAGCCATCCTAGGCCTCTAATACAGTGGCTTTCAACCTTCCTAATTCCACGAAGCCTTCATACAGTTCCTCATGTTGTGGTGACCCCCAACCATAAAATTATCTTCGTTGCTACTTCATAACTTTAATTTTGCTACTGTTAGGATTCGGGTGACCCCTGTGAAAGGGTTGTTTGATCCAAAGGGGTCACGACCCACAGGTTGAGAACCACTGCCTAATAGCTGATAGTTATGCTGTCTAGAGTATTGTCTTTCCTAGAAAGCACTTCAGAACAAGGTTGCCCAGCCATTGTGAAGCACTAGGGAGAATATTATGTTCATCTTGGATAAATTGGAGCACTGGGGCCTTCACTTTTTTGTTTATGGAATCGGCTGATTTGGGCAATGGCTCTATTCTTTTTGTGATCAGCCTTCTATGGGCGGAGGGCTCCTCTGAGCCTCCCTGGTTGATAATATATATGTGGGGTTGTAGCTGGGGAGTTCTTCAGTCTCTAGAGGCCCCGTGGCTTCTGACCATGCAAACGAATGGGCTGTCCATGTTACACCCAGTCATGTAAATGATAACATCCAGGATTTTTAGCATGAGTTAATTTGATTTGGGAACTGCCTCTTGGGGTCCTTTCAGACCATTTCTGCACACAGTGGGGTGGTTGCTCCAGAAATGCATCGTATCTATTGCCCCTTGACTGCTGTGATTAAAACCCATGGACACGACAAATGTCGCTTGCATGCATTAACATAAGGTCTTTATTTTTCATTAAAGTTACTAGGTGCCACAGCTATCGAAGATAAGCTGCAGGAAGGTGTTATCGAAACGATTACAAGTTTATCACTGGCCAATATTAAGATCTGGGTCCTAACAGGAGACAAAGAAGGTAATTTGAAAATGGATTATTATGAAGTTTTGAAATGGGAAAGATAACGTTGATGGTAAAATTGTGATTAGCCACAAAGCTTAATTAATTAAATATTTGTTCAATTCTGCACACAGCAAAGAGTGGAGGCACCAAAAAGAAAGCTAATATACTATGAGTATTTATTTTTGGAGGTTAAGTGAAGTTAAGATAAGCTAACATAATACTTTCAACACTAGAGAAACAAGTTCATGGAGACTCATATGTGTATAAGAAAGAGGTTTATATATAAGAGCAATTTAATATTAAGAAAACATTCTAGCCCAGTCCAGATCAAGTCCATAAGCCCAATATTAGCCCATATATCTGATACCAATCTATAAAGTCCTCTTCAGACTCAGGAAACACATGCAATGATGCTGAATGCAGGGCAATCACAGGCCAATGGGTGGGAAGTCTTGTGGATCCAGTGGTATTGTAAGCATCTCAGCGCTGGCAGGGGTCTCCACGTGGCTTCTCCAGCTCAGGGCATGAGTGTAGTTCCATATGTCTTGTCAGCTGCAATGTCTTCCAGGGAGTCAGCAGAGAGAGAGTATGTCTCCCACCTCCAAGGAGAAAATACCAGAGTTCCCAGAATTCTCAAGAGAAGGCCATGCCCACACAGAGGCCTCGTTGGCTAAGACCAAATTGACAGACTAGACTCCACCCCTTCACTCTTTCTCCTCTCAATTCCCAAATTGACACTAGATTATGTAACTGCCACAGGGTCAGTTGACTTTTAGCCCAATTGCCTTTGTCTCTTAACTAACACATATATTCTTTTAAGATCCCATCTACTGGTTATGCATTTGAAAAAAGAGGATTTAGATGTGTGATAATTCAATTCTCTATATCTTCATCCAAATAACTTATTACAAAAATTCTAAACAGTAGAGAGTTGAGCCTAATGGCGTGTTACTAGACAAAATCTCTCTAGAATTTGATATTGATAAATGAGGAAAGCTGGTCCACTGTCTATGCATACTGAAGTTTACCATTGTTTGCCATCAAATTCTGTGCTTTATACAAAAGATATACTGAGATTTTATCAATTTATTTCTTTGATTTAGGACACATCCAATGAGTTAAATAGAGTCTTGTGAACTTTTTCTTTAATTTCCCTACTGTAGCATAACTGAATGTTAGCTTTTGAAAGGCAGTATTTGAGACTTCTGGTGAAATATTTTGTATCTGTACTTCTGACCATATCACCAGACCTTCATATCTTTTCATGAGTATTAATCTGGTAATCAAAAGAGTTTTCTGAAAGTAAATTAGAAGGCTAGATCCCTCGATGTTGCTACTGCAGATTTCCCTCTGGGCCTGTTTCATTTTACTGCCTGCCATGCTCTGTTTGGCCTTATGGGGACCTATAGGCTACAAAGAACTACAAGTATTGCTTTGAAACTTATGGAAAAGGAACTTATGCTATTAAGTACTAGTTTAACTTATTGGCGTTTGATTCTTTAACAGAAACTGCCATCAACATTGGTTATGCCTGCAACATGCTGACTGATGACATGAATGAAGTGTTTGTCCTGGCAGGGAACACCGTCGTTGAAGTCAAAGAAGAACTCAGGTGAGTGACGCAGGAAGGAGAAAAGAGAAGATGGAATGCAGGGAAGGGAAAAAGGATTATCAAAGAGCTGAGAGAACCAGAAGATAATCCTGTGATCCCGGCTTAGTGTGGAGCTCTTTCTTTGTATTTCCTACGCTTCTACTCATTTTGATGACAAACTGAGGTAAACCAACATTTATGAAAACTCAGTCTTTGGGTGTTCAACATGTCTCAAGTGGTTTTAGAAAGATCGTCCAGCTCATTTATGCTCTTAGCCTTTAACGTTATGTGTTGGTGATATCTGCTAATTTGTACAGGGTGACGAATGAACAGTGTCATGGAAGATACTTGCTAAACCTACCAATTCCCTACCTTCATTCTGACATAAAAATAAAGAATTGATAAGGGGTGGGGCCTGGGAATATCAACTCACGTATAAGAGAGAGTTTTATGCAAAAAAAATGTGCATCACGAAAACATCCCAACCCAATGCTGCCCAAGCCCACAAGTCCAACATTAACCATACCCAACACCAGTCCACAAAGTCCTTCACCTCACAAAACAGAGGCAATGATGCCGACTGCAGGAGGAAAGCTGAGTCCGTGAACATGTAAGCATCTCAGCACTGGCACGGGTCTCCACACGGCTGCTCCAGCACCCAGGGCTGCATCGGGATAGATCCATGCGGCTTCTCCTTGGGGATGTCTTGTAGGAAATCCATCTTGCAAGCGGAAGCAGGGAACTGTTAAGGCAGCTGCACCCGATGCAACCATCACAAAACAAGAGACCCGAGAACTAGAAAGGCGAGGCTTCACCACCCATTTATCCCTCTGCCTTTCAACCAGCACCACATGTGATTATCGGTCAGGCTGGCACAATTAACTAACTCAATTGATAAGGGGTGGGGCCTGGGAATATAAGTCCTAAGGTAAACCTAAAAGTATCACTTCCAGCTTACACATGTTTATTATAAACAAAGCGTGTTGAAGCATGACTCTCATCAGCGGAAGGCTGCAGACATGTTCTCTTAGTAATATGCTGGTCTTTGCTTTGTTCAGGTGCCTTCCAAAATAGGCCTCATCCAAGCAGTGTCTTGAGAGTCTCTGCAGGGGCAGTTGGTTCAAGTCCAAGTGTCAGAAAGTCCTTGACTCCAAAGGGTTCAGTCCTGACAGATTCCCTGGTAGGACACAGATGCTTATTAGGAAGACGTTTGAACAGTATTAAAGACTGCATTGGTGAAGACAAAGGCCAGGAAAGTTGTGCCCAGAATCCTCCCCCGCCCCCTCGCTCATGACAGTGAACTTGCTTACTCTCTGAGGACAGTGACGGCTTTCCTACCCTGGGTAGGGAAACTCAGTGCCGTTGAGTGGATGCTGACTCACCGTGACCTGATAGGACCGAGTAGAAAAGTTTCCTTGGGAAACCTCACCCTATCCACCTATCTGCCTGGATAGCGCCCCCTTCACCATTATTTGTGTTTCCCAAACTTGGCATTTAAAAAAACCCAGTTTGAGTCCCACAGGGATGGCAACCTGCCACCTGGATATGGTAGGCCTCAAAGGTTGCACACTTTTCCAGAAAAGGGTGAGTGAGATGGAAACATGGCCTTCAAAAGTGTGTAGACTTAGATGGAGGATATGCTAAAGAACTATAGCTTCACATTTGGGTATTTTTTAATATAATGATTTACATAATTTCTAACAATGCTTTTGTGACTTATTCATGTCTGATGCTTATGAGAAACAGAATAACTTGAAATTTGCCTA